AAAAAAAAAAAAAAAAAAAAAAATCATATGAACAAATACTCAGCTATATTATGAATCCAAAATAGCAGTTCTCAAAGTATGGTCCACAGATCCCCAGAAGTCCTTGAAATACTCTCAGGGTATATAGGTCAACACTATTTTTTTTTAAGTTTTATTTATTTTTTTTTTAATTTAAATTTTAAAAGAGATAGAATCTCACTATGTTGCTCAGGCTGGTCGCAAACTCCTAGACTCAAGTGATCCTCCTGTCTTGGCCTTCCAAAGTGCTGGGATTACCAGCACAAGCCACCTCACCTGGCCTCAAAACTATTTTCAACAAAACAGTATTAAGACCTTATTTGCCTTTTTCACTGTGTTGACACACTGATGGTATAAAAGTAATGACAGGTAAACAGGCTCCTTAATTAGCATGAATTAAGGCAGTGGCATCAAACTTACTAAGAGTCATTGTATTCCTCACGATGCCTCCAAGTTTTATTTAATAATGTTTTTGCTTATTAAAGATTATTTATTTTATGAAACCAACCCGAGTACATGTCTTGATACTCTTTATACTATTCTGAGTAAATGTGAAGCATACATAAAACACCTCTGTCTCAGAGGAAGAAAGTATGCCAGTTATCCTGAGGAAGAGGACTTGCACAACTGTTTTAATGGCAACCTGACCAAACTGCTTTTTCTCATTCATCATTTTTATTTGAAAGAGTATGTGACAGGCCAGACACAGTGGCTTATGCCTGTAATCCCAGCACTTTGGGAGGCAGAAGCAGGAGGATCGCTTGAGCCAGGACTTCAAGATCAGCCTGGGCAATGTAGTGAGACCCCCACTCTACCAAAAAATTTTTTTCAAAATTAGCCAGTTGTGGTGGTGTGTGCCTGTGGTCCCAGCTGCTTGGAAAGCTGAGGTGGGAGGATCACTTGAGCCCAGCAGGTCAACGCAGCAGAAAGCCATGATCGTGCCACTGCACTCTGGCCTGGGCAACAGAGCAAGACCCTGTCTAAAAAATAAAAAATTTTATTTTAAATTTCTCAGTTTTAGCTTCTAATACAGTATAAATAGATCCAACTCATACACAAGGGTTCTATGGTGTCCTTATTAATTTTTAAGTGTAAAGGATTCTAAAACCAAATTTATAAACACTAATCTACGTAAATTTAAGGAGATTTTCTAGCTAATTTGCAAAGGCAGTAATAACAGTAATAATACTAATCAGAACTGATAAAGAGTTAGAGAAACTTATTCTCACACACTGCTTAAAGAAGATAAGCTGACAAAATAATTCCAAAGAAAAATTTGGCAACATATATCAAAAAAAATTTTTTTTTTTTAAAGGAAAAGCTAAAGCTTAGAATCAGCAATTCCACTTTTAGGATACAGAATTAACAATCTATTCGAAGACAAAATTAAAGATGTGGCAATAACTGTTTACTGCAAGACTATATACATCTACAACAGTTTATAAAGACATAAACTAGATACAACTTAAATGGAAGACAAAATTCAGCCATGACAAATTATACTGTATATGAAAAATTTTAAAACAGGTTACAAAACAGTATATACAGTAAGAACCAAATTTTATATATTGGAAAGAATTTGGCATGTGGGTAAAGCAAGTTAAATAATTTTTTTAAAAGAAGAAAAAAAAGAATATACCATAGTATTAACAAAGAGGTATTAATATAGCTTGGAGTGTTTTAATTTATTATTTTTGTCTGTATAGTTTTTAAGTTTTGCTTTTTAACCACAAAAAGTCAAAAATGGTTTAACAACGGGTTAAACAATAAAAAGCTATAAGAAAAGCCACCACTCTCTTCTCTTATAAAATACACCGTGTCCAATTCCGTCCTTCCTAGGGTAGCTGATGTTAACAGCCTGGAAGTATGTATCCTTTTATACTTTTACCTATGCTCACACTAATCAGGCAAACAGCCATATACTTAATATACTGATATCCCCTGTTTATTTACCTTGTTTGTTTTTGCCAAAAGGGAATAATAATTACCTCTTTATTTTTTTCCACTTTTTAATATACCACGGACACATCCCAATCAAAAGATAAAAATTTCATTTTTTTTTTTGAGATGGAGTTTCACTCTTGTTGCCCAGACTGAAGTTCAATGGCATGATCTCGGCTCACTGCAACCTCTGCCTCCCGGATTCAAGCAATTCTCTCGTCTCAATCTCCTGAGGAGCTGGGATTACAGGTGCGTACCACCATGCCTGGCTAATTTTTGTATTTTTAGTAGAGATGAGGTTTCGCCATGCTGACCAGGCTGGTCTCAAACTCCTAACCTCAGGTGATTCACCCACCTCAGCCTCCTAAATTGCTGGGATCACAGGCATGAGCCACCACATCTGGCCTCATTCATTCTTTTAAATAGCTATATAGTATTTCTTTCTTTTTTTTTTTTTTAATAATAGAGACAAGGTCTTACTATGTCACCCAGATTGGTCTTGATCTCCTGGGCTCAAGTGTTCCTCCCATTTCAGTCTCCCAGAGTGCTAAGATCACAGGTGTGAGCCACTGTACCCAGCCTGCTACATAATATTTCTTAAAACATACATAAACCATAATTTAGTCAATGTTTCCTAGCAGTAATTGTTTCTTTGCAAGTTTTTAATGCTACAAACAATGTTTCAATGAACATCCTGGCACATATACCCTTATATTTTATTTATTTATTTTTTTTTAGAGATGGGGTTTCCCCATCTTGGCCAGGCTGGTCTTGAACTCCTGACCTCATGATCCACCCATCTCGGCCTCCCGAAGTGCTGGGATTACAGGCGTGAGCCACCTCGCCCGGCCTACATTTTGATTTTTTTAATCCTCAGGATAGTGTCTTGAAAGTGAGTCCGCTGGCTACAAATATATTTTATTTTTATTTTTTATTTTTATTTATTTATTTATTTATTTATTTTTTGAGATGGAGTCTCACTCTGTTACCCAGGCTGGAGTGCAATGGCGTACTCTCGGAGTGCCGAGAGTACATTTGAACCTCTGTCTCACAGGTTCAAATGATTCTCTTGCCTCAGCCTCTGGAGTTGCTGGGATTACAGGTGCTCGGCACCACACCCACCTAATTTTTTTGTATTTTTAGTAGAAATGGGGTTTCACCATGTTGGTCAGGCTGGTCTCGAACTCCTGACCTCATGATCTGCCTGCCTCAGCCTCCCAAAGTGCTAGGATTACAGGCATGAGTCACCATGCCTGGCCTTATTTTTGTTTTTTTTAGAGACAGGATCTTACTATGTTGCCTAGGTTGGTCTCAAACCCTTGGCTTCAAGTGAGCCTCCTGCATCAGCCTCCCAAAGTGCTGGGATTATAGGCATAAGCCACTAAGCCCAGCCTATACATATATTTTTAATTAGATGTTGCTAAATTACTCACCAGAAATGTACGAGATATCATACCCTGACCCTGACCAACCATGGCCATTATTTTGCCAATCTGGTAATTCATTGTTGCTTTAATTTGTATTTCCTGCCTGCTGAGAGACTGAGGTATTCATTTGCTTATTGACTGTTCATATCTCTTCATGTTCTATCTTTGTTCATATTTCTATCACTGTCATATTATGCAAATAATTTTTCCTGAAGAGAGAATCATAACTCATATCAAATTCAAGAATAAACTTCAACTGAATTAAAGGTTTAAATGATCAAAACCAATCAAACTATTAATAGAAAATAGAATATCTGTATAAACTTGGGATTGAGGAAGTTTTCTCAAGCAAAACAGAAAATTCAGAAGCAACAAAAAAACAGACGTGACTACATTAAATTACAAGTTTTACATGTATTTTCTCACTTTTAAATCATAAACAGGTATTGCCTTGAGAATTTTTTAAACAGGAAAAAATGTTTTAAAACGGTAAGCAGATATTAACAATACTATGATCATTCCTAGAATAAGACATGCAAAGAACTTCATTAGATGCACAGGTGCTAAACTCATAAAGGCATACAACCAAACACAACTGCCTTTTCATGCTGCCATCACTACAAATAAAAGCTATGTGTGGAATTCCAAATTCCCAACTCCTATTTCTGTATCCTATTCAGTAAGTATTAGTCCCTCCAGTGTTGGCCCTCTGTATCTATGGGATCCACATCTGTGGATTCAGCTAATCACTGATCAAAAATATTTGAGAAAAAAGTTTACATTAAAAAAATAAATTTAAAAAAATAATAATAAAAATAAAAGGCTGGTCCAAGTGCAGTGGTGTTCACAACTAATTGATCACAACCAGTTACAGATTTCTTTCTTCCTTCTCCACTCCCACTGCCTCACTTGACTAGCCTTTGGAAAAAAAAAAAAAAAAAGATTACATTTGTACTGAACATACACAGACTTTTTTCCTTGTCATTATTCCCTAAATACAGTATAACAACTGTTTTCATAGCATTTACATTATATTAGGTATTATAAGTAATCTAGAGATGATTTAAAGAATACGAGAGGATATGCATAGGTTATGTGCAAATACTACACTGTTTATATCAGGAATTTGAGCATCCTCAAATTTAGGTACCTGGAACCAATCCACCACATATGTAGAGGGAAGACTGTGTTTACTTTAAGGTGATCTACCTGAATACAGAATCTTTCACTGTACCACTCTGCCCAATTGTTACTCCACCCCCATCACATATGGAGTAATTATGAAAGGGAAGCCCCATACAACAGAACACATTTTGCCATATTATGTATCTATGAGATGATAAAATAGATAACTCACCTAAATGGGGAAACAGATCAGTGTCCAACTGATGTTTTTGGGTGCACAGTTTCACCAGTCTCTGCAGTCGACTTATACACGAGAAGTGTGGAGAGAAGGCTGTGGCTTTCATGAGGATCCGGTCAGTCCTGGGTGGGTCCACGGGGGGAGCCCTACTGGATGGCAGGAGGGGCAGAGGCCTCTTGTGAGACAACTGCCGTGCTTGTGCTATAGTGTGTGTGGTGGGTGCCACTCCCTGCATTGGTAGGCTGGTGTTCTGAGGTTGAGGTGACTTGCAGACTGAACCCTGCGGTGGCGCTGGAGGTTTTAAAGAAGTGGATAAAGGTGACAGGTGGGAGTGCTGCTGTGGAGGCTGCTGCTGTGAAGGTGCAGGAGGGGGGCTAAAGTGCTCTTGTCGAACTTTTAAAATCTCTGTCTCTCTCTGGCGCTGCCGATTCTGGGCTAACTTGCTCTGTAACTTCTTTCTCACAGTTGCCCCTTTCTTTAGGTCATCATCTTCCTCATTGAAAGCAAATGGGTCTTCCAACTCAGTTTCCAGGTAGTGGAGAGGGACCCTTGCCCCAGGTGGAGAGAGGGACATTCCATCCAGTCCGTTGGGCATCTTCAAGGCCAGCGTGGGCACCGTCAGGCTAAAGGCCATGGTATCCATCTGGTGCCTGACCTTCACCTCATCTATCGGATCATTCTTTTTCTTCCTCTCTTTTTTCGGGATAAAGCCAAGTACCTGCAAGTGGCTGTTGCAGTACCTTTAAAAACACACACAGACATGAGAAAATATT